TATTGCTGAGTATTTTTACTCGTTAATTGTATTTTGACTTGCCCTACGGGCTCGTCAAAATACGGCACAACTTGTAAAAATACTCAGCAATACTACACAACAAAACGTCTAATAAGATGTATGTATCCAAGATCAGTCTAACTAATGCGCAAACTATAAATTGAAAGTACAACTAGTAAATCCTACTGCAGATCAGTAGATTCACTGATTCTTTTTATTTGTTAACTGATCTACATAATCCTGGTCCCAAAGTAATAAAACCACAGTAATAGAGGGGTTCATTCTCAATTGGTGTATACCTTAAGATTAAGTAGCACTTAGTAGTCTGTACTGTTTTATGGTAAAAAGGTAAAGCCTGCTTACAAGCCAAGCAGTCCATTGGGTTGGCACTTAACTCTGGTTTCTGTAGCATGAAGTGGCTAGGGGTTTTTCTACTCTCCCCCCCCCCTGGATGGAATGCTAGTCCATCGCAGGGTTACCCTCAGCGCTAAATTAATCAGTACCCATTTATTCTCCTGGGTGAAGAGAGGTACTGTGAGAGTAAACTGCCTTGCCCAAGAACACAACACAATGTCCCCAGCCAGGGCTCAAACCTGGACCACTTGATCCAGAGTTGAGCATACTAGCCATGAGGCCATCGCACCTCCCACCCACTGTATTGTGCTGTGCTGTTAAATGTCAAGTCAGTCTGGCTCCCATGCCTGTAATTTGACTTCAAATTATCTCATGCCTTTTCAAATATCTGTCTGCTGATGAAATTCCCATTCCTAGCAGAAAAATTGTAGCTTAACTGTAGATGGTATTTTAGCATTAACTGATATGCTGTATTTGAAAAATACAGTATAAAAAAAATGAATGAATACTTGGAAAGAAAGGTCCTTGCAAATGATTGCAAATTACAGTGTAGGTGAGACAATTACAGTAACTATTGTGGAATTACAAGAACATCAGAAACATGTCACCTCTTGAGGACAAGTACCTTGAAACAGTGAAACATTCTAACTACAAAAATTACACAAACTGCAGCTGAAATTTAGTGTAATGGGCTTAAAAATGACATTTAAGCTGAACATGTTTTTGGTTAATAATTCTACTTAAATCCTTTCTCCCACTTTTTGTCTTAATGAGAGAAGAGGAAAGAAAAGAATGATATTGTCAGTAACATTAAAAAATAATTAACTGAAAATGAATGATGGATATTTGGGAAAAAAAAAATTACCTGCTGAACATTTCAAAGCTTGCTTGAGTTTATCCAGTTCACTCTGGACTTTCTGAATAACGCCATCTTGATAAGAAGAATATGGTCTCAGTGAAACAATTGTTTCTTTAATTGATAGTAATTGTTAGCAAGAGGTACTGGGACATCTGGGACATTGTAAAAGTATATTGTCAATATACACTTTCTTAAATGGGTAACTAGCATGAGCAGAGAGAAAAAAATGTAATTGACTCATGATTTTAAAAGATTGGCACCTTGCTGAGGATCACCTCTCAGTACTGACACAGAACTTTACTGAAGAACAGTTATTGACCTACAAGTATATTCCATTGCTAATAGGGCTCACTTAAATTCTGAGAATGTGGCAGATAAAATTGTAGCTATAATATTTAATAATATTTTGTAGTAACTTTCAAATTCTTAAAAGCTTATCAACACTGGCACAGAGGGATTCAAACCTAAACCTTATGTGGAAAGGGAGCCTTTTAACCCAAACTTTCCTTTAAACCAGTTTAAAGAACAAGGCAGGAGATTCCTCAGTGCAAATAACACACTGTGGAGGAAAAAAATACGTTTTAATACTTGATATATTCCAAACATAAAATGTTATTTTGAATACCTTTATCTCTGGCATCCATTATTGAAATGATGACTCCCAACTGTTTCTAAAAGAAAAAAATTTGGTGACCTTAGTGGTAATAGGGGAAAAATAACTGAAGAGAATTCTTGATTTCCCACACCTTCTAATAGGTATTAAAAAGAATTAGAAGGAATCTATTAATCAAAGATTCATGGTTCAGAATGGAATTTTTTTAAGAAATGGGGACCCTTCTGTGATTAAACTATCACAGAATGCAAGTAAAAGAAGGTAATTGAGCTTAGTGCAGGGCTTGACACTACCGGTAGCCTGCTAGCCATAGACTAGTAGAAATTCAGTTTTGGCTTGTGGTTTTCGATTTCCACTAGGCAGTTTGGCTAGTGAACAAACTGATATCATCGTAATGTTGAAGATGTCACTAGCCACTTGACTAGTAAGTTGTAACGTTGGTGTCGAGCCTTGTAATAGTGGAGTGCATTTTGTATAGGTAATCACATGATTTCGAGTGCAATTTGGAATAAATAAGCACGAGTAAAGTTTTTCAAAGACTAACAAAATTGCGTGAGCCCGTAGGGCGAGTGCAATTTGTGGTCTTTGAAAAAATTTACAAGTACTTATTTATTTCAAATTGCACGAGAAAATCATGTGATTATCTA